TTGTGAGTGCTGGTGCATTTTTTTCTACATAGAATTCATGAGTCCTGTGGGATGTGAGTGTCGTAAACAGTCCAATCAAATGTTTCAGAACTGCTGATCTGTGACTCTGACGATTTCGGGGACGTAGAGAAAGTGATGAGGGTCGCAGAACAGTGAGCCTTTTCTTTTACCTCGGCTTCCTTCACGCATCCCTTTTAACCAACTTTCCATGCGAAATGACAATTGCAATTAAAGTTACGCTTTCAATTCGATTCGATAGGCCACATGATTGAGTAATCGGGACGACGCGACGGTGTCGACTAAGATGCCGGTGAAAAGTCTGGAAATGAACCAACCCCATGACTATTCCGACCGAGGTAGTCCTGACAAAACGACGAAATTGCTAAATCGAGGTCAAATTCCAACTAGACGCCTCCTTTGTGAATGTCACCAGTGCGTTAGTCACCGGGCTGATGGTACTTTTCGGAATCTGGGCTGAAAAGAAGCCAACTTTAATGATTTGTCGACCAACACACTGACCCTGTTCGTGGATCGAGACAGTCATCTGCGCGAAAAGAGGATAAGAATGTTGAAGAGACCATATAAAATTGATAGGCAAATTAATGTGAAAGCTGAGCAGATGACCGGTTGTGGCCCGTGAAAACGCGTACCGACTAAAGCGTTGTCTTGTCGACCGTCTGATTTGCATATCCACCGTATCCGAAATCAGCTTGCGCTCAAGACAGCCTCGTGGCGCCCCAGTCGGCAGCGCCCACGTGAGTGGGGCCGAGGCAGAGACGTCGCTACCTGCAGGGTTCACTCGTCTGTCGACCACCAGACCTGCCTGGGGAGGCATTGGTAATTAGGCCTCGTGGCTGGGGACATGCGGCAGACCGGTCTCTAATGGCGTCTGGGGAGACCAGGATTGCCCAGACGAGTAGTCTCATGTAAATTATTACAAGTTTTGCCAATCACACACACACCGCCACAAGCAAAGGCATGAGCACCAGTGACCGCAGCACCAGACAGACCGAGAATCGGCTTCCAACGACCATATACTGTGCACAGCCCCAGCCACAGTTAGGCATCCGGTGAAGATTAAAACCTCCACATTTTGCTCTCTTTCACTTCATCAAAAGCGCATACATCCATCTCGTCTGTTCTCGCCGAAGGCAAAGCTATTTGATTGGTCGTCCACTAAAGGTCGTCCACATGTCGGCATTTGGTCGTCTTCTTTCCACCAGCTGACCTCTCCTCCATGAGCCGAGGCAACTGATGTACCCACAAGGGACGGGATCAGATGAACTCACCAACTCGTGGCTGAAATACGTGGGGAGACCCTACCCAGCGCTAAAGTTCAGAGGCTAGAAAATGACTGATCTCAATGCCAAAGCTGGGCGCATGACGCACCACAAACTTACCAAATTGTCTGAGAACAGGAAGAATGGTGCTGTCTTGTCCTATTAACTGGAGCTAGGCGAGTGAGCACTGCCTCGAGTCTATTCGTAAGTTGACGCCACTCTCAAGAGGATGACAGCAAATTATGTCGAGCCGGTACAAAGTAATTTCTCTTAGCGCAGCCAAATTCATCCATTTCTCATCTTCTGAACTCACTCCTTCGGCTAATTGACCTAATTTGCTCTGGTGCGTAAATTCATCCAAAAATGACCTATCCTCGGTTAAAATATCAAGTGTCCTCTACGGGATTGCCATAGCCTCGACCTAGACAAAAGGCACGGCTTATCAGACCAATATAATTCTCTTTCTGCACTTATGATGATCTGAGCTTCGCTAGATATTAATTATTTGACATACATGAAGGGCTTTTTGATTGTATGTAGACTCAGTACATAATACAGGCATCTCGTAGAAGTATCTGATTTTAGACTGAAATATTGGCTTATTCTTAGAGGATAAATGTAAATGATGTTGAGGCTATATACATATTTTTATACATTTCCATTCCGAACAAATCCAACAATTTGTTGAGGAA